ACCCACTGCTTCTTTGGGATGTTTTTCCATGCCTACTCTCCTCACTTCTTCACCGAGCTGAGATTATTGAATTCATCCTTTAAGTGGGGAAATACTACTTTTTGATGGACCAGCCTACTATGACTAAAACATGATTAAGCTGCAAGACGCAGAATCCTTCCACCTTTTTCATGCACTTTAATAGTATAATTTTCATAACAAACTAGTCTCAGTCGCCTAATAAACAAGTGGCATTTGATAGCCAATGACCRCTAAATACACTAACAATAATTTTGCACTGTGGAGATCATTACAAGACAACACTTAGCTTTATGGAAAAGAAAACAATTCTTTTTTTGTGATGGCAATAAGCATGCCTAGCTCACTATATACTCAGCATGTTAAATGCCAAAATCTATATCCATAAGCAGGCCCTCGCCTTTCATTTAAATAATCACATTGATTTCTCATGGATAGTTAAAAACCCAAATGGTGCTTTTAGTAGCACTACGTGCATGTTTAAGTTCAACATATGAGAAAACTTCATCAAAGTCKATAGAAGTTCCTGATGTAAGCACTGCATGGAAGCAATAAAGACAAAAAGGTTRAGGAGATGTACAGCTGGACTGCCCTGATGCTTTTGGGAGGCTCCTGCAGGCAGCGTGCTGTCTCTAGGAACATAGGCTGCTGCACTGCAGCACAGACTACTCCCAGCAAGCCAGATTATGGCATGGAGAGAATATGGAAATATGAAAAGTCGTTCTGTGCAGGTTTATATGARAGAGTGCTGATGTCTTGCCTTCTCCTCAAACAATAATGCTCCTAGGAGAACAGTTCAGGTTTATCACAATGATCATTCTCCCACCAGATCTGCTCTTAAAAACACCCTATGTGTATACGTGCGAGCTTTAAGCACTAAAGTTCCCGCGTGCCTGTAATACAGTTATTTAAATGGAATTCACAGCCATAATGAAATTAAGATGGAGCCAAGAACAACGATGACTTAGTTGAAATGCGGTATCATAACATAAAATGAAAAAACAAATGATACCCATTGCCATTTTTTCTTGCCAGCTTTGTGACTTCTGTGTAGCAGAAGGTTTCTTAGAATCCCCTGTACCTGTGCAGCTGAGCTGCAGTTCTACTCTACTTTTAAAAAGGACTTCTTGTTCTCTGTTGAATCAGCCCCAGGTCATTATCAAACCTACAACCTAGGCCCAGTCTTGCAAAGGCTTTTACACACAGGCTTAGCTTTATGCACATGAATAGTCCTTTAGAATTCATTAGAAAGATTTGTGCACAAAGTAAGCAGGTGCATGAGCAGTTTCACTGGAGGACTGGGACCCAAAATGTCAAAGACTCCATATTCCCTATTAACAAATACCTCTTCTGCATCAGAAAAAGTACTGACAGTGTAAGGATGAGTGCGATTTTTTGTTTTGTCTGTTTACAACGGACAATATTCATACAACTTGATAATTATTTTATATCAAAAAAAAGAATTACATGCATATTCTTACTGATATAGAGGCTGAAGAATATTGCAGATGGTAAGAACACAGGGTGAGATTTCTAGAGGAGCTTAAAGGATTCAGGTGCCCATCTACTTTGTAATACGGATATATATAGATATATTAAGCCATTAAGACTATTTTGAGAGGATCAGTTCAACTGTATAATACAGGTACTGAGTTTCAACTATCAGTTCATTAATTTTATATTGAAGTGTAGATTTGAGTCAAACTCCTGAATTCAAGGAAGAAGCCTGCTAGCAGCCTGGAAGATTGATCAGGCCAATAATGGCAGATATGGACTATCAGGTGATAATGGCCCAGCTACTTAGGCACGGGAATTTAAAATCTCAAAAGGATTTTAAATTTGGGTAACTTAACAGTTCTTCAAAAAAGGTTAGGAAGGGTGTATGCACAGCAAAGAATTTAGGTCCCAGCTAAGCCAAACAATGAAGAGCTGGTAGATAGCACAGTTAAAGAATCCTATTTTAAATATTCCTAAGCCTCCATCGCTATTATTTCTTTTAAAATAATAGTCAGATTATACTAATAAAGATGCAAGCTACAGCCTGTAAAATCAAGCACTCAGCAATCAAGGAATCCCAAAAGTTAAAGTTTCTCTGAAGTAAATATGTTATATTCCTGTTTTCCTGTTAAATATAGATTTTCAAGTATCCCATTAAGCTCAAATTAAATATATAATATGTTCAGCATGTACATATTAATGCAGTGGAAAATTATTAATTTTTGGAATAGCTTGAAGTATGAGTGCTTAATTTTACAATGCTTGTGTCAATTTACTGGCAGTTTACAGGTAAGGAAAATGTGTGAACATAGATACCACTCTTCAAGATACTGTCTACATTTTCATGTGCCAGTCTTGCAAGGAGATTACAGAAAGAGGGCTTATAATCAAGCATTTTAAAATAACTGTAGAACTGTCTAAAATTGATGAAAATGGAATAGCTGAATAACAGTTCACTGCCTTATGAGCTGGTCCTTGCAGAGGTCAAAATTCGCTAACATTTTAATAAAAGAACTGAAGAATATAGTGCAGAGTATGCTCATCTTATCTGCAGATGATAGTAAGAAAGAGGTGGCAGGCAGGAAGTTAAAACTGAAACATGTCAGCACCAAAACAAGGATATGAACAATAATGAACAAAGCAAAGCAGAACATACAGCAGTATTTGAGTGACAGAAACACACAAAAGGTCAGCAAAGACTTCTGCACTGAAAGAAGGAAGCTCCCATTTGAGATACAGATTTGCAATTTATAGACTTTATTTGATAAAGTAATTAAGCCCATGGTTACATTTTAAGGAATTAAGTTGACTTTTTTTCAGATGGCCTAGTGTTTAAAATTAAGCATCAGCTTAAGCACTTTGCTGAGCAGAACTTTCAGTGTTGGTTAGTGATGCTTTCTGTCAGGTACCAATAGACCTGAAGTGTCCGAGTGTTCCTCTTTGAGTAATAAAAACAGTCCTGGTTTTGGTCTTTTTTTCCCCCCTCTTCTGGAAAGAATCTACATCTTCAGATAATTTAGAGGCTGAATCCAGAATACTGATAAACTGGATATTGGATACTGATAAACTGGATAGTTTTATTGAGCATGTCATAATTTCCTCTGTCTTTACAGACAGTAAAGGCCAGTAAAGGCCTTTACAGAGGCCTAGATTYACTGTGAACATATTGGTACTCTTGACAATGAAGAATATGAATGTTTAAGAGAGTTTGTATTAGCTGTATTAGCATATGTTTTCTCTAGTTTGTTTACATTTTTCCACATGTTCTTATCTTTCTAATCTCTTAAATACCTTCTCTGCTCTCATGCTTGCATAGTGCATAACAAAACTTCATCTGTAAAATTTTAGATGATATCAAATGTATTCAGTTAGCAGGTGCAAAATGGATCAAGGCCCTCTGATATAATGAAAATACATTAAAAATCTGTGCTTTCAGTATCRATAGGAATCATTAGCTTTTCTTTAGAAGGAGACATTTGCCATCAGCTCTGACATTATCTGCAGATTTGAGTTCTGCAGATCTCATGATCTATTGCTTACATTTTTTGCAMTGATCAGTGATTAAATAATAGTGTATTGCCTTCACCACGTCTTGATATCCTCCACATTCTGACACCCAATGTCACAACCAATATCTCTTGCCAGTTCTAACATCTTTATTTTTCAGCAATATGTAAAATTGTTTTGGTACCCACAGACTCTTGCAGAAGAAAATGTTAACAGGCTTGCAAGCAAAGGAAAGAAGTTTGGTCTCTCCCAATTAGTAAAGCTACATGTAGCAATTGCAAAACTAGGTATACCTGCTCCATGATTCCAGGAAAAGTAGCATTTGTCAAAAATTGAATTTAATAGGCAATTGAACATTTATCACTTTAAATTAAAATTCTTTTCATACTTCTCGCCTTGATCTACACTAACAGGTCACTGGAGATTCRGGCACAGCAAAATCAAATCCCTTGACGCTGAGGAGCAACAGTGAACAACAGGATGTTTTATCAGTGCTTGACATTCTGCTCTGGATGGCAAATTACTTTAATGTCTATTTGGTGTTACAATGTTCACTGGGAAGAGATTGTATTTTCCTTTAATCTTGAAAGCTTCCTGATTTGGATCAAGTAAGAACAACTACAGTGTGTAAAGTTGCTTCAGCTTTCTGTCCAGAGATTGCACTGCACAAGTCACAGGCAGGGCAGGCTCAAGCAATTAATTCCTGACGATAAACTGGAATTGGCACTGTTGGATGGAACTGAAAAATAGGGTGTTTTTTTATTTCTTTTTTCCATTCACAACCATGGTCTATGTATGTGTTTATGGTGTTGTCTTTTGTCAAGAACAGAACATGCAGAAAATAAGTCAAAATAGAGATTAACTCTGCACTTCAGAACTTCAAAAATCAGGCAGGCATTTTGCATAATGCATTTCAAAACCCAGAGTGCTTCTTTTCATCCCAATTTGATAAAGTGCAATCTAGCTTGTTTTAGGTAACAGATTGTAGCTTGCTATGTAATACTTTTCTAAAAGTTAAGCACTTAAGTCCTCATTGGAAATAATTTTTCTCTGGAGCTGACCAGGACTTTCTGTATTCAGGTCCTTTAAGTCRCTTGCTGAACGGAGACCTAGATTTACTGGTAAGTATTTTCACTAAGCCAAGTCGATTCTTGATATTGACAAGAATACCTTTAAAGTACTAACCCAAATATCACTCAGATAAACTCATCTGCATTCTGACATTTTTATTCAAGGCATTTTATTCATGGCCGCTTTACCACTTGTATATAGACCAACACTCCCATTTCACAGCGGAAAATACATCCTTATGCTATTGCCACCGTGATGCAAGGGAAGTGCCGTTTTGGCCCTGACACTAGCCCAGAGCTACGCGCCGGGCACATCCCGGGACACAGACGAGATCGGGAACTGGCGCCCGGCCCCACAGAGAACCCCGCGTCCTCCTCCCACCCGCGCTTCCCGCTGCCCACCCCGCCATGGCGACAGGCCGGGCGGGCACCGCCTCCCCGCTCCAGCGCCGCTCGCCATTGGCCGCYGCGCCCGCCCGTCAGGCACGGGGGCGGGGCCCGTGGGCAGGCCGCGCGCGGGTTCGTCATCGCGGGGCGACGGCCTGGCTGGGTGTCATGGCGGAGACGGCGGTTGTGGCGGTTGCGGCGGCGCCCAGCCCGGCCCAGCATGGCGGCCGCGGCCCGGAGAGCGGCACCGAGGCGGAGGCGGCGGCCGCAGAGGTGGCGAGCAGCGCCCTGCGCGCCCTGGCCGGGCTGGCGGCGCAGGTGAGCGCGGCGCGGCGCTGGGTGCGTGTCCCTCGCGCTGGGCCGCGGCCCTGAAGCGCCTTGCGGGGCTCCTGCACCCGCAGCGGAGCTGCTCCAGCCGCGCGCCGCCTTCTGCCTGCGGGCTCGGCCTTCAAACTGYGGGCTCGGCCTTCAGACTGCTGCTGGGGGCGTCACGGGCTGCCAAAAGCTCCTCACCGTCGGTTGCATGAGAGCAGAGGGCCCGGGGCTTGATGCAGCAAGTGCCTTCTGTGGGTTGGGCSCTAAAGCGGCCTGGCTGCCCCGTGGTTCGGGAAAGACTCCTGCTAGGGCTTCAGTGACAGTGATAGATCCGTTAGGGAATGGAGATGGATCTCTAATTCTTCATGGATGCAATATTAGTGGTAGGAGGCCCTTGCTAAGTGAGAGCTTTGCTTACAACTTAATGAGTTGTGCGGGCGTATATATGTCAMCTTGTCAAGGCAGGAGGAATGCACCCATGCTTTGAAAATTAGGCAACAGTTTGGAGGTTTGGGCCCTTCAAACCTGCAGTTTGGGCAGAATATAACTTAGTACTTCTTTTTTTTTGTTTGTTTTTTTGTTTACAAAAACAGTAAGATATAGAGCCTGGTTAGATGTATTAAGTAGTTTCGTAATAACTATTGACTGAGGTGGAAATATTTTTAGAGCATCTTGCTTCTTTTTCCAAAGAAGTGTATGCGATATTGACATTTCACCTCATAGTGGGTAAGGGAATGTCTCAGCTGTCAAACAAAACATATCCAAAATTAAGGGCCTGAATACTGGGGCCCTGAACGATCAGAGTCTCARTTTTCCTCTCTGTGAATGCAATAAATGCTGGCCTAGCTTTTGAGTGTGAATGCTGTGCTGGACAGTGGTGATTGATACACCAGTGAATATTAGGTGCATAGAACTGCTGTGGCAAGAAAACTGTCCACGTACTGAAAATGAAATATCTTGTAATTCTTCCTAGTGAAGAGTGTGAAATCTTAATTGTTGAAGAACTAGTAACCATTATTTTACCCTGACAGATCACTGTCGTTCTTAYGGTTTCTGTAATGCTAACATGGCATAAAGGTCAAGTTCTCCTGTTTAAGAAGAACATGAGGAAGAGTAAATGGAAAGGTGCTATCTGTGGTACCCATCAATTAACTGTTTTTAAACAGATGTTGAGCACTGTAGTGCTTGTCCCTCAATAGCTTATTCCTTTGATTTACCTGTTCTACCCAACACATCACTGTTGAAGGCTTCATGATAAAACAGTCTTTAGGTTCTGACAGGCAACTGTGCGATTCAGATTAGAGTTGCTACATCTCCCCAGTTGAGTTACAGTAGTTAACGGTGGAGAGTAAAATTGCCCCTTTAACTGCTCAATCACAGTCATTGTGCAGTTGTCCAGTTACACTTGGTGTCTGTCAGTACTGGTGCTCAGATAGATTCACTTGTGTTTTACCAAAGTAACTGCTCCTAGTTATATCCATCCCATACCTTTGATGAATTTACTTGGAAAACATGCCAGGTCAATGGCTATCCAGGTTGTGGTCCATCATACTAGCTTAGACTGGACTTGTACTAATATGCTGGACTGTAAACAGGAATATTTCTGGTCCAGGAGCTTTTTTATTAGAGTTGGCACTTGCAGCTGGGAACTACGWCTCTTTAATATGACTTAAATCTGGGAAGTTCTTTAAGCTCTGAGTMCTAGTTATTGTCTTTCATAAGGCAGTTTCAAAAGGCCAGAATGGCTTGTGTTCATGAAATTTGCCACAGAAGAGCCTTTTGGCCTGAAAATATACATAAACTTCAAAGTTATCAAATCACAGAACCTGCTTGTAACAATTCTTCTAGGTAAAAGGACATGAAACAATGAGAAATATAAATGTATTGTACTAGAAACATATTCAGATGCAGGATAGGCTTATTCTTTACTTATTTTTAAAACATCACTTGGTAATCTTTCTAATTACTTATCTCAAAATTATTCTAAAACAGAAGCACAACTGATTCTCTACACTGAACTGTCCTGATAGGAGCCATACAATATAATATGAAGATACTTGTTAGCTGTTCCTTTTTGAAATATGGAGGACTATTAAGGAATTGTATTTGTATTCTGTTTTGTTCTGTTGAATATGACTTGCAGCTACATATTTTTAACTGTAYCTATGGACTGTAATTTAGTATACAGCGGATGTTATTCTAGGAACTTTGCGAAGAAAGACTTGTTTCAGATAATGTGCTACAGGTGATCACATATGAATAGTTATTTAATTCTTAAGATTTAATTCTTAATTCGTACTAAATTCTTAATACATTTGTGGATTTGTAAGATGTTTTGGACATTACTTTTCATACCTCCTATGTAGAATAAGTACTAAACGGTTTTTGTGCAAGCTAGTTGCCTGTGTAAAATATATATGTAGCCAGACAAAGAGTTTGATTCAATTAATTGTTGTTTTATAGTGAGTTTCTAATATTTYTGATGCATTTTGATGCACACATAATAGCCTGCAAGTTTGTTTACTATTTCACTACTTTTTTCTGTAATCTCCTAATTTCTTTGCTCTGTAACTGATTGGGGAACTCGCATCGGATCCAACAAGGTTATTCTTTGAGTAAACAATGAAGGCTTAAGCTTGTAGTTCACAAAATTGTTATGAAAATGCTAGATTTTAAAATTAATGTAGAACAATTTGGTGGTTTACTGTTTTGCCTTCAGTGTAATGGAAATATCTTTAGGTTTACTTCTCATGGTTTCTTCATGTACTGTGGAAACACAAACCAAGTGCATTTGTATTCTATGTTCCTGTGTATAATAGTTGATACTATTAGGTGTTACCTTGATCGTATAGAGTTCATGTTGGATGCTTTCATTCATGTATCTGAGGCCTGTTTTATTTTATTTTTTTAACTGGAGGAATTGGATCTTAGAAGTAAAGAACACACTTGACTTTGGAAATCTGCGTTTGGGTAAATGCAGGTCCAGTTGATTTAAACAAGAGTTTAATCTGTATTTATGACTTTGGGATTAATTATAGATTGGTATGAAAACAATGTGCTTGGCTTTGGGAAATGAAGTGCTCCTCACCTTACTCGTTCTTTTGAGGAGAACGTACTGGAATAAAAATGGCAAAGATGGATGTGAAAAGGCAAATGGACAATTAGTGTTTAATAACAGTAATTTTAGTATTATAAAGTAAAAGATTATTTTTTGATTATAGAAGAAGTATAGTTACTTTAAAGAGAACTTCAGATTCTCTATGTCTTATTGTTTAGGAGTTCAATACTGCCATTCCTCAGCTAGGAGAATACAATATGGAAATTGCTGTTTCATTCTGATTCTGTATACTTAGAAAAAATGATTTGAAAACAGGTGTGACAGTCAAAAAGAAGGTGCTRTGTGGACCAGAGATTGCTTAACCTGGAGATTTTGAGAAGATTTATGTTCTTCTTTCCTCTCTGTATTAGAACTTTTTAATATAAAGCCTGCTTTGGATCAGCAACAAATAGAAAATGTATGAATTGGGCAAGCCCTTGATCATACAGGTTCATACAGCCTTTCAAGTCAGAATAAAATACTTAAGTTTACAGGGAGCCGTTGCACTGGGTGCGTGTTTATTGTCTGCCACTACATTTAAGTATTTAACATGAACAGTATGTTTTAGTGTAATAGCTAATTGGATTGAGAATTGAACAAAGCTGTAGGTTAAATTAACAGAATAAGAGTGTGATTGAGTAGTTTAAATTTTTTACTTTGTAAACATACTCTACAAATARCTTAATTTGAAAATGCGGCTGTTTGGGTTCTAATTAACATAGAGCTTCTTTTACAGCCTCAGTTAAAAACACAGTTTTTATGAGATGGGATATATTTGTTGTCCTGTACAAGTCTTATATAGTTTGGTGTTAGTATTAAATACCATGTAACTGTGCAATTCTTGTGATGATGATATTTGTTTTGCCCTTTTGAAGCTTAACCTTGGCGACGATATCGTGAAAGTTGTAATCGATTGGAGCAAGCTTCAAAGCACATCAGCACTTCAGCCAGTACTGCTCTTTAGTGCCCTTCAGCAGCATATTTTAAGTGTACAGGTAAATATTTCATTGGACCCATCCAACTTGACTAAAGAGATCAGCAACTGAATATAATCTAAAGTGTAAAATTTCAATAGTTACAATCGTATGTTTCTATGTCCAATAAGAAAGAATGCAAAAATATGTTATATGCTTGGGAGTCCACTATGCTTCTTAGTTACTCAAATCTATGGATTTTTCAGAATACTGGAGAGTAGTCACTGTAGATGAGCAGGCTAAATAAATGCAGCCTCATTGATTTCTAGACTTGCATTGTAAATGTGATACATTTCCATCTATGGTGGGTTATAATTAAGCAATAAGACACGGCAGGTGTGTGTCATGCTATGATAATGATTCCATGCGTTGGGTGAGTTTTGAGGCTCATGGAGTGCTTTCAGTGGTTCAAGAAGTGGCATTATCCCAGCATGACACATCCTGGAGTGTCTTACTGCAATTAAATATATTTTCAGCGTAGTCTTTTTTTTTTCTTAAGAGTAATTTCTTTGACATTAATGTCTCATCTTGCCAAGTAGCCAGTCRCCGTGACTGTCATTTAACTGTTTGAAACTTTCCAAACCTGTCAAAAGTAACTGTGATTTAGTTGTATAACGGGGGAGGATGAGCTGTTTGTCAGCTACAAGGTGAACGGTATTTTGACCTTGATAGTTCAGCTGTTAAAGGTGAGGATTTAAATACACCTCATTTGTCACGTCAGCTATTCAGCGAACTATTTCAAGTGTGTAAGTATTAACAGAGTGGGAAATGAAGGAAGTTTCTGTGTTTGCTTATCTGCAGGTATAAGAAAGACCCTTTATATTTTCCAGATAGACAAAAATCTTTGGTGTGATAAAAAAGATAAAAGCAAATAAATATTAATTGCAGTGTTCTTACAGAATTTCAGTTTCTGTAGGAATTTAAATCCATTTCAGGAAATCTAACTGATAGAAATTGTGTTGTAAAAAAAAAAAATCTTGATTTCTAGAGGAAAAATAAACTGTAAAATTCAGATTAGATGAAACTGGTAGAAAAAAAAATGGGTAGTTTGACATACTCTGGATACCGAGGTTTTTATTTTCACATCTTGTGTAAGAGTTATTTCAGTAGAATAATCATTTATTTTACTGCTACAAATGTCAGTGCATTTTCTCGTTTAATTTCATGACCTAAGTAGATAATCAACCATGTCAAGTAAAGCATGTGTTCAGGATAACACCTATATATTTCATGTCTGTGTTCTCTCATTCACTTGGGCAACTGCCGTTTCAAGTGGAGAATGTAGTGCTGTGGTGATAAAGTAAAGGCTTTACAGTGTGAAAGCACTGGCTTTCATGTTAAGGAGGAAAAATACTAAGCCTTACTGTTCTGAGGAGGCATTTGAATGACATGTTAATTAAGTGGCATTGGTGCCAAAGACTGAAGCTTTGATTTAGCTAGTAACAACGAGCAGCAGCAGACAGATTTTSTTAGAAATTTGTTTTTAGTTTATTTTTTCTGTACCAACATCTAAAAGGCGCAGATCAGGATGAAATTATGGCATTTGCCAGACTATTTGGAACTATAAAATTTTTATTACTGTATCAGAAGCAGACACTGTAATTTTTTTTTCAGTTCCATTTTTGAAATTATAATACCTTTTTTTTTACCCTTTACCCTAATGTACTGCTTTTTGTACAGCCTCTTTTAGAAAAACTGCAGTCATTGATTAAAGAAGAAAATACAGACCATGTTGAACCTGCAGGTAAAACAGAAGGCCAGACTTGTGAAACAAATTTTGATATTTATGACGGTAACCCTCAGACTGAAGAAAAGTATGCAGGCTATGACTCGGGAGAGCTGAAGGATGTTCATATTAATTTTGATCCAGAGGTGGTCCAGATAAAAGCTGGAAAAGCAGAAGTAAGTGATTTGCCGAAATTAAAAGAAAAAAACTTTCTGGATTTTAAATTTAAAGAATGAAATAGATATATGCCATCATGTTTATTACCCGCAGATTGACAGGCGGATATCAGCCTTCATCGAGAGGAAACAAGCTGAGATCAATGAAAATAATGTCAGGGAATTTTGCAATGTTATTGATTGTAATCAAGGTAACTGGCTAGCCAGACTTTATCTTAATAGCAATTTAAGAGGTATTTTGTTTGTTTATTTGCTTTGTTTTTTTTTTAAATGAACTATTCTATATTTAAAGCAGATTTTTTTTAGCATAACTGTTAAGTTAACATGTATGTGCACTGTAGATTTTATTAGATGGACAAAATTATTCCCTGAGTGACAATGTTTAATGGATTACACACAGAAACATTATAGCCATTACTATGTTCATTTTAAGAACTGTGGTCTTACATCTGATAATTTTGTAGCTATTCTTTGTAATGTTTTAGCTATATGTTGCTTTCAAATTTGCAGTTTAGAAATTTCAATTGTGTGGTGGAAATTGAACTTTATATTAGTTACATTAACACATATGTAAGCTTTTTAATTTTTAGTCAAGTTGGTCTTTTAGAGAAAATCTCACTTTTCTTTTACTGTAACTTGTTTTCTTGGTGTTTTTATGAATCCTACTAGCACAATTTACTATATCTAGAATCAGGCCCAAATTTGTCTGGTAGACTGGTTTCCATTAGCATGGTCAGGATCTGTATAACCAAATGTATCTTAAAAGTGAAGATACTTTATAAAAGAATGAGTAACAAGGAGACATAGGGTTTTTTTTCATAATATTTGGCTGTGCTTTATCTGTATGATTTTATTTATACATTTGGAGATCAGTGTATTGTTACATAATCTTTATAGGAGGAAAATTCACGTCCTTGAAYATTAGTTGAAATGCAAATCACATGTAAAGGTTAGCAGAAGATGCTAGATAGTAAAATAATATTTCTACAACTGTTAGCTAAATACAGAGGAAACAATGTTAGGACTTATGTTCATRCATAATAAAATATTTCTAAAGTTTTAGGTATATACAAACTGAGTTAAATATAAATATTAGAATAACCTAAGGTGGACCTTATTTCAGCATTTTAGAGTTGAACAAATTCAGGAAGCCATAGGAACCTGAATAAATGCAGGAAGGTGGAAAAAATGCTGATGAATTAAACTAGACCAGTATAAAAGTAGGAAGAAAGTAGTTTCAAGAAACTACTTTTCATAGAAACTACTTTTCATAGAAAAAACAGTGGTAAGCAGGGAAAATGCTTCCATAGAAGAAGAAAGAAATAGGTTAGAGAAACACAGCAAAGTGTGAAAAACAAATGAAGTGTAATTTGGAAGACATTTTGTCCAGTTAAACCCAATAGAGCCATATGAGTGTGGAATTTTATTTAATTTTATTCTGAACAAATGTTTATAGGARCAAAATAAATTATTTTTGATTTTGTTGTATGAAAAATTTAGATTTCTGAAAAGCTGGAAGTTGATGATGACTAGAATATTTTAAATAATAAATACATAACTAAGGCCTCACTGTCTTTTGTTATTACTTGTTTAGAAAATAGCTGTGCCAGAACAGATGCAATTTTCACACCTTATCCTGGATTTAAAAGCCATATAAAGGGTAAGCAACTATTTTCATTAAGAGTGTTCAGATGGAACACTTTAATAAATTTTTGTCTTATTGAGCGCTCAAAAAACGGAAACTTATGTACAGATACTTTTGTCTGTAGAGAATACTTCTAAAATCTTCTCCTATGCTTCTAAGGTTTTTAATCACCCTTCTGTTTCATTCAGTTGATGCTTGAACACCAAAACATGACACCTTGTTTCCATTGTCTGAAAGGAAAAATGGAAAAGCTAAAGCAGAGTAGGTAGAATGGAGAAACTGAACAATTAGCTTTTTGTCTAAGGTGAGACTAGGAATTTAGCTATGGAGATGCAATGAAATAAAATTATCCTGTTTTTGGTTGGTGTAATTATACTTAAATAATGTAGAAAAGGACACAGTGGAAGCACAGGCAGAGTTTTATAAGAGATGACAGGTTGGGAAGGTTTTCCTCTGCATTAACTTTTTGGAAGGAAATAAATAGTGTAAAAATGATTGYCCAGCGAAAATTATGTCTGAATGAAACAATTGACTGTTCAGTGCTGTTTAGCTGTACAGAAGTTACTCTGAGAGAAAAACAAAATGGCAAAACAACCTTCTCTTCCATTTTGAGAGTGGTAATATTCAGTTATCTACTTGAATGCCATCAAGGACTTTAGGAAAACTCAGAGGAGTAACATTGTGAAGCATCGTGCTAGATAGAACCATTAAAGGGTCTGGTGAGCTAAAAGGGAGACAGGGGAGTTTAAGCACCATTCATTAAGAAGCCCTTTCACTAGTTTCTTTTCTTTCTTTCTTTTCTTTTTTTTTTTTTAAAGTGCTAGTTTTTATCTCAGATAGTAGAGTATTACAAGAAAGAGAGGTTGTTCTTCAAGTAACTGAAACCTGAACAGTTCAGAATTGGCACTTGAGTAACACTTAGGAATTGGAAGTGAAACCAGCACAAACTGTGAAGCAAGAATGTAGCGTGCGGCCTTCATGAAGTTCTCAGTAGGAAGATAGGTCAGTGTGGAGTTTACAGCATAGAATTCAGGTCTGCAGTAGTCCTGACTTGAGAAATGATCCTTATTTAAAGAGAAGTGGCCAGAATCTTTTGACCAGGACAGACATGGTGGTGAGAAAAGTCCTGCACCCAGAAACAGTTGAGGATTCAGTAAATCAGTTACCTGAATAACAAAAATTGGAGAGAATTTCTTTGCTAAGATGCACAGTGCTTTTTTCTGGTTGAACTTCCTCATATCCAGTTTTAATGGGCTTTATTTATGATGCTTTCTGTAATATTAGGATAGACTTTTTTCCTGGCCTCCTCTTCACATCCACAGCCATTCACAAACACAACAGCTGACACAGATGTTTTTTTCCCCATTGTTTATCTGCAGCTAACAACAAATTCTCAAGACTTCCATCCTGTATGAATGTATGAGGATAGTTTTTCCTTTGATACAGGTGTTAAGCCCTAGTCTACTTACTGGCGAAATTACTTTAAGGAAATACTTCTGTTGAACCTCTAATCTTAAATGTCTGTGAAGAGAATGTCCTTCAAAGATGATATTGTGAAATTGTTGTGACTGTTAGCTTTGAGCTATATAATTAAATAACACTTTTATTCATTTTAATTAGATATGTCTTAATATTGTTTCAAGCGTGTATATGATAAATTTGTTTTCTCTTCACCTAGTTTCTAGGGTAGTGAATACATACGGGCCGCAGACGAGATCCGAAGGAGCTCACGCTCCCAATCACAAGGCCAGCGTCCCCATTCCTGACTGTGGGAACCAAGCCATCGAGGAAAGGCTACAAAACATTGAGGCACATTTACGGTTACAAACAGGTTTGGCTCATTTTTAATTGTAGTGTTAGTGTACCTGTATTTGTATTGCAGGTATAACTACTGGGAAGTATAAAAGTTCCATCATTGTAAAAACAGTGGGCCATACTCAATAAAGGGTTGAGCCACCAAAAGTGCTACAATTCAGTGATAAGATGAACTGAAAGACAACCTGAAACTTTTTTCATAAAGGTGGATCATTCCTGAAGCAGTTACATAAGAAACTTGCTTCTCTTTCATAGAAGGTAGGAATCTGTTGTCAGTAGTTCCCTGTGTAGAGCCACATCCAACCTTTCACTAAAGTAAATGCTTTAGCCCCAGCCTCTTAGCTGCTTTAAACAGTTATTTTCCTCATGCCAGCTCAATTTTGTAGAAAACAAGTCAGTGGGGCACTTGCCAAGGAATTGACTGCTGTCCAAGTCAGTGTTCTTGGGGAAGGTCTYGAGATCATTTATTCCCTCTCCCAGCAGCTGCACAGTAAATAGTCATTTGGAAAGGTAACCTGCCACAGCCACCTGCTTACCTACTCCTTGGTTCTGAGTATAGAGAGATCTCAGCTCAACAGCTGTTAACTCAGAACAGCCTCTCCTTGTACTACTACTGCTCTTTTCCCTTGCCAGTAAGAACCAGATGTATTAAGAAAGAGAAGTTAGCAGATTTAATTAGTAGGTGGTGACTAGTGAGCAAAACTGAAGGAGAGTAGCTAGCCACAAAATTGTCTCTTGAAACGAAGACATAGAAGAGATGAATGGTTTAAAAAAATGCATATTTCAGTAGTCTGTGGCATAGAACTGGTTTATCTGACACGCCTAGACCTAAATTGAAAGGGGTGGCAAGAGAAGTAAAATTTGCCAAGGCCTTAGTTGCTGCTACCATTCACAACCAGGCTATTGTTTTAACTGGAACAACGTGTAGCTGAGTTATGCTAATCAGTAATCTCAGTTTATACAGTGCCCTTCTGTGGCCCTTCTACTGCCCTGATGCTGCAGCTCATTTTGAAGTGGTGACATTTGGTACCAGTGTATTGAGAGAGATTGTTGGTCGGTCTAGGAGCCTTGTCAGATATTTTTGAACCACCTCCACAAAATTGCCTATTAACTTCAGTGATTGTACTGGCTTAACAACCTGGTTTTACCCTGAATCATATTAATTACCCTGTCTTTTTATTTTCACAGCCACTTATTTTGTGGAAGTTACAGGTTGAAAGCGGGACTCAAAAAAAAAAAAAAAAAAAAAAAAAAAAAAAAAAAAACACCTGTAAAACTTGCAAATCTCTAATAATCAAGTTCCTCAAGTGCTTTTCCTGATTTTTTTGCATTTGTTTTGGTATTCTTAGGTGGTCCTGTACCAAGAGACATTTATCAGAGAATTAAGAAGCTTGAAGATAAAATTCTTGAGCTGGAAGGACTGTCGCCAGAATATTTTCAATCTGTGGTAAGAAACTGTCAGTTTCATTTAGCGTCTGATACTTCCCTGCATACGTCTTTGATGCACAAACAAAACTCAAGGAATCAAAGGGTAGATATTATTGGTAGAAAAGTCTGGCTTGATTTTTTTTTTTAATTGTTGTGTTTTACATAGACCATTTAAATGGATTCATTATTTTACCTACTTTCTCATTTGAAATAAAATAGCATTTGTAGAGGAAAAAAAAAATGTAGCTACCWGAACTTACTTTTGAGAAACAAACATATTAGAGGTTGTATTTCCCTCCACTCCTTTAAAATTCAGAACCTTTTTGATGACAAAAAYTGCCCGAAATTGTGATCCTGATACAAATGAATAGTTCTTTTAATTCTTTTGGCTTTTGTACATAATCTCACTAAGATTATGGTGGATTGGTCTAAAGAGTGGGTGTAGGAAATGGCTCTTCCAAGAGGAAAAGGAGTGAGTTCCTTTAGGAACCAGATAATTTCTGACTTTGCCTGAAAACTGGCAACTAATGTGCAGGGTTCTTTGTCTCTAAGTGCCTGGGGGTAGCAGAAGTGCAGTGTCCTGGGCTTCCTTTTGAACAGCAGACCTTGTCCTTCATTCACTGAAGAAGGTTAAAGCAAAGGATATTTGTGATTACTATGTCAGGCTCTGCTTAGCTTTGGAAAATTCTGATGGATTATCGTGCTGTTTTTTCTCTCCCCACTTATTAAATATAACAAGTATTTGTTATATTTAATATATAATATATTATTTATATCCTTCTGCTGGTCTGAAAGGATAAGAGACAGCACTTAAAAAGCAACAGAAGTAATTTCATYTTTGTTAGTGTTGGTGACCATTAAAATCTTTTTATTTATGAGACTATCAAGTTTTTGGAAACGAAAAGTTWAAAATATTTAATAGTTAAAAGTATGTAATGGGCTGAAATTTCCCTGAAACTTGCCTTGGGATATTCTCCAGAATGGTGATTTGCATGAATTATGTGATAGTACYAATTGTCGTGTTGTACAGTAATTTGCGTCTTTTTTTTTTGTTTCTCTGAACAAAATTTTGCATCAATATTGTTACAGGAAAAATATTGACAAAGTTTGAAAACCTGGGTATTGATCTTTGCTTTGTCTGAAAGAAGCCTCACTTAGCTTTATTTAATCTATTGGCTGCAGGGTGTCAAGCTTGAACAGCTTCTATCTTCTCTCACCAGTGTTTCTCATGATCCAAAGTAATAAAGAAAATTTTTATCTATGGGCTGGCAGCCAGTATCCTTTCCATACTTTTAAGATGCTTGTCAATGTGTTTTGTGGGCTCTATAGTTTTTGGAATTACAAAGTAAGATTAAGTCTGTTTCTGCTATCTCTTCCTTTATAGAGCTGTTCGGGCAAGAGGAGAAAGGTCCAGCCTCCCCATGTAAGTGCTCTTATATTTTGTTTACCTTTATTTCAGGCTGCTTTGGGGAAAAGTGATCAGAAGCTCTACCGAGCAAATACTTGGTGTCTCAGAAATAGCTGCATAGTTTTGGATAGCTTGCTAGCAGGGTAAGGGGAAAAAAGAAAGAAAATTAAAATTCCAACTCCTCTAAAAACCTGTGCTAGTATGATGGTTACTATTACTGTATCAGTATTAATATTAGAATTAAATTGCAAGTGTGTAATTGCTGTTGAGAAGCATTGGTCAATGTTTTTATGTTCTAAAGAACAGGTTAAACAAACTTACAATGGAAACAGCACAGATAGTGATCCAAGATTTGGACTGATTTATTGGTTTCTTCCAAGTTTGCCTTCTTTAAAGTTTTAAATAGCCATAGACTATGTTCAGACAGTTAGGTGAAAGTATTTGTCATTTAGTGCACTATGCAGTGGCCTTGAGTATGAAGTGCTAGACCACTTCTGTAGCATTTACAAGATGTAAGTGATTGTGGTTCTTATTTTGTTCTTTTAGCAGAACTATTCATTGGCTGAACTTGATGAAAAGATCAATGCTATTAAACAGGCATTACTGAGGAAAACAAAAGAAAGCAAGTCCAAGGAGGCTGAGCGGCTTCTCTGGTAATGGATAGAAAAAAAAGGATCTTTTCAGAGTCTTCATCATGCTTTACACATACCTAAAACATAGACCTTCAGTAGTGCTCATTGCTTTTATGGCTAAAATCATCTCCAAAGCATGCATAGATGGATGATTGATAGCTTACTGTTGAGAATATTCATTTTAAAGTGATTAGTGAAATATTTACCTTAAAATGGAGGAGTGTTTTAGGAACAGTGTTCTTATCTGTTCCCTTCTGTTATAAAGGAGGATTGCAACATTGTTCATATGTGGAAAGTTTTAACCTGCATGAAAAAACTACATTTCATGTGTAATTCTTGATGCCAGAGTATGTAAAAGGGCTGTCTTTTGAATACTTGTAATGTAAATAGTTTGAACAAACTTGTGAAATAAACTTGTGAGTTACTTCCTGATGAGTAAACGGTTGTATTAGAAAAMTAAGACACAACGAAACTTTTCAGTGCACAGACTGACACACAGTTTCTTCCATCTCTCTCACTATTTATTTGTACAGAGTTTAAAAATGCAAGACACTGCATTTCTGCGCACATTTCAAATAAAGAGAAAGTTACATATTCTTTACACATGCAAGATGAGACATCTATTATTTAGGTGCCCTGCAAGAATACCTGCTATGAGGCTAGTATATTCTAAAGATGATTCTGGTAAAGTGGTGGTGTGGTGTAGTAAGGGGCACACCCAAGCAGGGASTAGTGCCTTAAACATGACATCAGGGCAAAGAAATACCTCTGCATTTGAAGCARCCTCCCCTTGCACAGGGCTGGTGCTCGTACTATTTCTATCACACTCTATGAAACTGGAGCATTCTGCTGGAACATATGTGCTATCCCTTTCAGCAAACCCTGTGTAATAAAGGGGGTGCAGGACAGAATTCTCACACCATCTCTTTTCCCTTTGTCTTAAGGCAAGGGGGATAAAAAACAACAGTTGAAAATCACGATGTCAGAACAGAATGGTTATAGCTTTCTTAAAACTGCCATTTATGTTTTTTTTCCTATGTATCTGAAACATCTGGTCCTGATATATATCTCAGTCTATCTGAGGAATCCTAGCGGAGGAAGTCTGAAAGAAAACCACAAGGGAATACAACACTGAGGCTGCTGTCCTTCACACAGTGTTATCCTCTCTGGCTGCAACTGGCATCCATAAAGGCTGCCTGTGTTCCCCAGCTCTTTAACATCTCCCACTTTTTTTTTTTCACTGCTGTTATCCAAAACACAAAGTTCTTTCGCAGTTGGCAGCTTTGTGTTAAACACTTCATCTTTACCAAGCATTATATGACAGCCTTGCCCTTAAAGATGAAAAGGAAGGTGAATGGTCTCCAAGTTAACTGTATTAAAGTCATTCTAAGCCAAATAAGTCAGAAGGCAAGAAGTGTCCTAGAAGAAGAGCCAAGGTAGGAAGGAGATTCTTCATTTTTGTAAAGCAGATTTTCCAACAGCAAAACATCAACTTGCATCCTGGGCACACTGAGCACTCTGAGGATCAGCTAGGCTCTTTGGATTAAAGCAGCAACGCCAACTTTCAACTCATGATCCCTCAGCTTAACTGAGCATCTGTGCATTTATTTTATAGAAAGGGAGACTGACCAGAGAAGTGCATTGAAATTGTAGGTCTCTGCAAAAGCCCCCTTGCATCAGAGATTTGAGAGAAAGGGATGCGGTAAGTCCATAAAAACTTGCCTCTGGTTTAGCACAGACTACCTTTCTGCCTCCCTCTGCATTAGAAGTACTTTAATAGARCTGTGCTGATAGTTGCCAAATTTGGGGGAAGCCTAGAACATAGCAGTCCTCCTCTGAGAGAGAGCAAAGAACACAGCAGAACTCTGCAAACTGCAATCTAATGATAAGTATTGGTGTGACAGAGCCAAAGCTTACTGCAGAGCATTTCTGATGCAGGAGAAGGGTGGATTTGTGTCCGAACTGGACAACTGCACTTCGGATGTGCAAATTCAACATACATGGAGAATTTACTAAATAGGGACAACATATAGAAGCATCATTAGGGGTTACTTACATGATCCAGTTGACCGTTCTCCAGCATACATATTCCYGTTAGTGTTGAAGCTTTGACTGTGAAGGAACACTAACACTTTTGTGGAAACACCTTCGCCCTCTGCAACAAGCATAACACAGCAAGGACAGGTATGGTAGGGCTGCAAATATTCTGCCTGGCTATCAATTCAGAGCTCTTTAACCTGCAAGTAATTTGAAGAACGTAATTTAAATTCACATATGTGAATTTAATAACTATATATTAATAATATTCATAAGCTACATAAATTTATTAATTATAAATATTAAAACCTGTAAAATCACCTTCAACATTATGTTTGAGAGGCTCTCCCAACACCATTCTTTCACCTCAATCAGCAGTGGAAATACAGACATTAGACATTATAGATTTAGATATAGTGAGGCAAAAATGCCATACCTGTATTCTGAGACCTGTCACTGGAGTCACACATGTAACACCTGATTGTCCTGTAGCAAAGCATGAACTGACAAAAACAAGGGAGAAAGCACCTCAGTTTGGGTTATGCAATGGTGATTTTGCATAGACCATTTTCATGTTGAGGAACGCCTGCAGTGAACATGACTTCATCCTATCATTATCACGCTGATCATGTATCAACAGGTTTAAATGAACTTTCTGTGAACATTTCCCATGTGTCCAGTTTATGTACATATACAAGGCAGAGTTGTATGCCAGTTGCAAAACACAAAATTTTAGAGATAAAAATTAAATGTGCTTTCCTCTTATTTATGCATTACTAAAAGCTAATCTAGAGTTCTTTTAGCGTTTTTTTTCCAGAGTGAAATAATTGAAGTGTAGTGTGAACCTAAGGTTATTAAATGGCTTCCAGTTACCAGAAAAAAAAAATTAATAAAAAGTGATAAACTTGCAACTAATTATGTCAGGAAGGTGTGCAAGAGCATTGCTTTTGAGCCAAGATCATCTGTCTCCCTTTGGATGGCTAATGTTCCTATCAGGCACCTTACACRGGAGACATAGTGAAACATTCGATCAAGCATTAATGCAGTTCTGCAATGCATGATCGGCGCCTCTGACAGGCTCCCCTGAGTAGGGAGCGATTCATCTCTAGGAGGCTAATTTCTTATAGTTGAGTGCAAGGTTTTAATAAATAAACCCAAAACTGAAGTACCCTTTTGAACAGCCCTCATATCAGCAGGTAATATCAGTAATTTAGGAAACTCAAACCATTCACCGTTCCATCCAATTTATTGTTTTGATCAGTGCTGGATTTAAATACATCATAAGTTATCTCTTTTGTTTTAATTAAGAACATACTACACTCCTGAATAATTTTAGTCCCAGAATGACAAAGATATATTACTTGAAGGAGAAGCTGTCAAAATACTCAGTAAAAACATATTTTGATCACTTGCATCAGTGAAAATGAACATTTTCTATGATAACACTTGCTAGACCATTCTCTCCTGAATGAAGACCTGGGGATGGGACTTCTGAAGAGGAAGAATGTCTCCATAAAGATTCCCTTAAAGACATCTTTTCCCTTACCCCATAAAAGCAATTATTTCTCCTAACCCCATTGAATGCCTGCTGAACACTTGAGGCTTCCATAGCCTMAAGGATCGTGGTATTCCTAGTTTTAGTTGGGCTATGACCTGAGACCATATAACACTCCCACGGTTACTTGGTGTGGGCCAGGAAGCAGCTGAGGGCTATTCASAGCCCTGCAGGTTGCTGAGAGTTGAGTCAGGCTGTCCAGGTGTGTTGGCCTCAGCTACCAGCTTCACTTCAGCCCAGGTAACATCCTCTTATGGCTGASAGCAGGATTTGCTGTCCCAGCAGATAGTCCATCCCACCCTACAGCAGGTCAGACCCAATTCAAGTGGCCTCTACAGGCAAATTTTCTTGTCATTGCCTACTAGGATGCATGGAATTGATTTCCACTGACATCAAGGTCTACCTGATGTTTACTTGGGAAGAGGTGGAAATATGTATTGCAGAAAATGTGAGGAGAAAAGGGGGAAAAAATGGAAATACATTTAGCAACTACTTCTGTAGATCTTCTAATGGAACTATGCCTTGTCATGGACAAAACACTTACAAGCAACAATGAAAAGAATAGGCATTGTTCAAAGCTATTATTTAGAAATCATCTAATTTTTTAAAGGTTAATTAGTGTAATTTACCCATCTTGGTTATTAAAAGGAGTTCTACGTGAACAATAAGAGTTCAATCCATTTTATTTCCACAGTTGATTCATCCACATCTGTTTAGCTTTTTATGACCATCTAATTGATTTGTAGAATTCTGTCCAGTACAGATGGCCTCTGTTCCTGACTACTTTTATACCATTTATATTATTGTTGCTCTGATTTTTATTCAAGGCCAAATAGAGGGGAGTATGAGTGTGATGTTCACCTAAACATAACAATGACATTAAATTTCTATTTGGCTCTGAGATGAGAATAGATTTGTGAAGACAAACCACTATGAATACAAATAACTTGTTTATACATAAATATAATAAGAGTTCTTATTTAATTATGACCTATTTTACCAGTTCTACAATATACTCTGTTGTTATGAATTTTTGTAAAAACAGCCAGGCTAAATCCATTGTCACAAACTCATTTGACTGAAAACTAGAATTATACCCCTGCTTATACTTGCAACAGAATGAAAGCTATTTCTCTAACCTGCTCTATACCTATCTACTGTGATTCTAGTAAGTTTACAAATGTATGTAACTTATCTCCTATAGCCACACATGTATGTGGACATTATACATACTGTATGTGTAGAGGCCTTTGCATTTGATGGAGAAACTTTCACTTCATTTTGACAGCCCCAAGGAACAGAAGCTGGTCAGATGTTTCCCACTGTGGACTTTCCTTGATCTCTTTCAAAGGCAGACAACATGAGCAAGTCTTCAACAAGCAGGGGCTAGTAAAGTTAGCCCTTGTTCTGCTTCCTGCAAGTCTTCTTGGTCCACAAGGAGTGGCTTGAATGAGCTGCACTTAATAAATCTCAAGATAGTACATCGACCACAGAGCCTCAGGCATCCAAATCATTCAAAGAAAGGAAAAAATGGGGTATTAATTACCCCACAGCCACATCTCCAGGACATATAGTTGGAGCTTCATGCATATAGCCTTTGTGTAAAATAGCAAGAAAGTAAGATTGAGCACCTTATTAAAAAACGTACACTTTTACTTCAGTAACTGTGTACCCATTACCGTGTAGCCATTTCATTACGCATGCCAGCTGCTTTGCTCRAACACCACACAGGAAAATCATTATCTGAGCAGCCACGACACTCCCCACTACTAGACTTGAACAAAACTGACAGACAGTTTAACTCCTCAGGCATTTCTGTGACCAATAGGGCATG